TCTTACAGCCAATAACATCGCAGCAAAACTGACCAATCAGTTTATACAAACCGGACTAAGTACATTCGACTTTTTCACCTGACTCTGATGATAACTTCCGCTCAGGTTGTCGAAACGTCAGTCACCATTACCGACAACAGTCCTTCTCAGAACTACACTCACCCGGACGATCAAACTACACTATTACATGTTACCCCCAGGTACAAACCATTCGCTGTACTTTTGGAAATGTCTTGCTGTCTTGTCGCCCTTTCATCAGTGTCAGAAACTCACGTTGTACCTCTTTGCCACTTCCAGAACCTCCTAGCATGCTTGAACGAACATTTACTTGCGACTCTACAATGCTTCTATTGATTACATGTAATTTAATCTTGCCATGCCAGCTTGTGGTTAATGCTACAAAGTAATTATACTGTTTATCGGCACCTTCGTCATATCTAGTGAGGCAGATAAGGGTTCCTTTGATTGATTCACTTCCCACCAAAATCAAGGTAATTTATTTCAGTTAACATAAGTCCTAAGCCAGCAGCATAAATAAAAAGCATTCTTATGACGTAATTTGCCCCAGATACGGAAATCTGTGATAATTAATTCCAAATTCAACACAGATCCTTTTGTAAGAGAAGTTGTCATAATTATTGTTGAATTGACTGAAAGGAAGGTCTCCAATTAGCGCAGCTTCGCTTTGTATTCCACCCATATTGAATAGAATTCTTCTCGTTGTAAAATATATGTGAAACTCGAGAGATCTAACCTGTTCTAGAACATGTTCGCATTGTTTTTCCGCACCATATTGCAAAATTAAGCACAAAATCAAGCAGCCGGTGTGTGCAGTAGCAATAGTAGGCACCGACCCTAACTGTAGTGAAAATAAATAAGGGCTTGTGCGGGAGTTGAATCCATAAGCTCTGTGATACCGGTGCAGTGCTCTACCATCTGAGCTAAAAAGCTAACCGGGAGCTGGTCATTATGTCGGTTCATAATAAGCCCGTGAGTGATGAATAAAAGACATGAATACCTTGATATCATACATTTAAATTGCTGATCAATAAATGGAGATGAGAGTGAACGTTGCAGTTATGAACAACGCTTATGCAGTAGTGAAAATAAAGCCTGAAAAAAGAAGAAAAAAAAAGGGAAAGAGAGAGCCGGAGAAAAGATAGAAGTTATAAGTCGGTATAAAGAAACCCCTTTGAGTAAAGCTTTCTCTCACTGAATTGAATATTCAAGTTATTTTTTTCAAAAGTAAATTTTCAAAAGTAAAATTCAAAATTTTTCTTTCCAGATCATTTCTGACAAATATTATATTAACTTTTTTGATCTTCATAAAATCCTCCGTATATAATTATTTTCAAAATCTGCTCGTCACAAAACAGCTTTAGTACTCAGCTTTTGTACAAAACTCTCATCATAACAAAGACCATGAAAAACTCGTTGTAAAACAAGTTCGTGAAGCGAAACTGTGAAAGCAGATATTTTCAAAAGGGGCGTGTCCCAACCATTACACCAAACAGCGTGTGCGTGTGCCGGCCGGCTGTCAAACGGAACTTGAAAAGCGTTTGTTTTACAGCAGAGCAAGGTTTAGAGTTCGTCACGGAGCTGAAAACAAAAGGAAAACATCAGTTACTGGATAAGACAAATATTGCCCTAAAGAATTTTGCTCAGATTTACAGGAACTGAAATTTAAGCGCGCAAAATGGTTATGCAGGTGAAGTGACTTGCATGTGATGATTACTAAAATGACTTACCTCCGTGTTTTTCATACAGTTACATTCCGAATCTCTATCACTTGGTTGCTTTATGTGTTCCATATTTGAATGTTTCGTAGGCTTGGTTGTCTGGCGCTTAGCATACTCCTAAATAATGATAAAAATTACCTCGTTTGGTTTTTCTTTTGTTTTGTCACTTTCACACCACACAATTAAGAAGGTGAAGAAAACTACAGATTGATTAAATGACCTCAATGAACTTCTTATAACAGTTACAGATTAAGTTAGTTGGACTCTGAATGGAATCCGGGTGGGTGGCTACAGCCGAGAAGACCTGACATTTTGTCTTTTTTATGAAGAAAATCGATTGAAAGCAGGATATTTGGGGCATCTTTGGAGCTACAGCTGACATTCCAAATCACACGACTATTAGCTGGTATGGTGTGAAATTTCACTGATCTGAGTAAACAAATGGATAATATGTGGATGGCAGCGCCATAGAGGAAGACGAGATCAAACTGACCTGGAAAAGAATATAGTGATAACAGAAGATCTGATCAGCAAGCAGGTTATCTCTCGTGTATGACTGAGCGTTCTTTATTATCTCCTTGACCTAGTGATAGAAATGGATTGTACACATCAGTTTGTTTTCACAGGTGCTGAAATAACCACTCAAAACACTAAGTATATCTTTCAATAGTACATGTATATACTAAACACTGTATTGCGTCGAAGGCGCGCCTGGACCTGCTATTCAAATTCCGACTATCCCTTGCCATTCACCTCCAAGAAACTCGTGCGCCTGAAAACATCGTAATAGTTGCAGTAATCATCTTTTGGCTAAAATAAAGAATAAAGGGCCACTTAAACCGTTTTAAGTTTGCGGCTCGGTAAATATCCACCGCTAGCCACCGATACTTCGGTGAATAGTTGTTAACTACCGTGAAGCTCGCTCTAACCTTTGGATGTTCCTTCATCAAATAATGGCTGCTTTAAGACTAAGGTAATTCATTGGGACAGCTACACCTGATCATTAGTAAACCTGATTTACCCTTTCCTTGCCGCGATCTATTTCGTAATTCTTCCTTCTCCCTTCATCACTTGTGGGAGTTAAAAACAGGTCTACATATTTGTTCAGAATTTCTCATACAAAATGATACAAAGCTTCATTCAATCCAATCACTGTTTGCAAATTTTCCTCCCTTTTTCCTTTCTGCTGGTTACTTTGTTACTCAGCCCCTGAGCTTTAGATACCTTTTCATCATTGTCCATAGCCCACTTTAACTTTTCTTCCAAGTCACTCAGATCTCTTTTAAAAGGCACATAATGTATCCAAGGTCGAAGATCGCCATAGAAGTGCTCGTAATACGGTGACTGTTGTTTTAATACCAAAGAATCTCCAGCTAACAGGTATGGCAAGCGATATGCCGCCACAGTTCCATCAATGTTAATTTGGTACTTCCACTAGAAATAAAATGGACAGAGCATAAGGGTGAAGGGTGAGGCGTGAACACATACTTACAAAAAGATACAGTGCCAGCTCTCATTACAGCCTCCAACCCATCCCACCCCTGTACCTCTAGCTAATCTATTAAACCTCACAGACTTGGCAAGGAATTCAGTCAATCTGTAAGACAACTGTAAAAGTAAGAATGGAGCAATAATGAAAGCTATTATGGAGGAGATTTTTAACAATAACTCTAAGTGGCAGTTAGAAAGAAAGATTAAATTAACAAGGCTTGATTTTTGGGTGAGGAATCACCAGAGTCTACTTTTGTGGAGTAACTCAGCTGCTATAGGGGTGCTTACCTTAAAGAAATCAAAGAATGAAATGTGTTTTGCTTTAGGACCATATTTTTTCTCATCATATTCAAAGAAAAAGAAGTTTGTAAGTGCAGCATCATATAGCTCAGGCTTCTTCCTTGCCATGATAACCAAGTTGAGTCTTTCTTCTCTACTATCACGGCCACGCCAAAGTGCTTTGTTTATCTTGTCTGGCCATTTTGGACTTTCAGTGGACTGCACAGACAGCATATCCAGGGAAACTCTGAAATTCAAACAAAGCTATTCTCAAGGCAGGTGTACAGTTAAGTCTGGGTTAACCATAAGGAAACAATGACGAAAAAGGTGCCAAAAGCTTAAAATCTATCAACTGATTAGGGAGATCTCCTTAGAAAGTCAGAGATGAGCTTGCTGGGGTCATTATGCAACTAGTGTAGTAAACTGTAAGAAACTGGAAATTGATTTAAGCTGTAATGAAGTATGAGTTGAGATGTTGTGGGTGCCAGTCACCTTCTGAATGTTAAGTCAAGATTCAAGCATTTAATGGAACCATTACTGAACATCATGCTCCTGGGTAAGACAATATATTTCCACAGTGCTTCCTTCCATGTGGGAATATCAGAGTGTCTCATAGGTCACTGAAGATCAGAGAATTCTCTAGGTACTCTTTGAGAAGTCTCCACATAAATTTTGAAGGCCTGTCCTATTTTTCATTCACACATTGTTACTCTACACAATTTATTTTTCAATCCATTTCTTAACTTGAAAACCTTGGAGTGTAGATGAGTGTTTATAAAATAAGAGAAAAATTTGGTCAAATACTGGTCTGGTAATTGGTGAATCCTCACCACTCAAAGGAGCTATTAAGGCCACTGGAAAAATCAGACTTCAAGATAAGGATATCTTGCCATTACAGCATCCAACATTATAATTTAGAGACCATACCTTCCCATAGTCTCCAGTGTGGACTCTGTTAGATCATATGTTGGCATGATGATGTCCAGTGTTTCATCTGAACCACACCAGGATAGTATAGGGATAGGTTTTGTGTTATGCTCCACAAGGGGCCAGTCACCAAGATTGACAAAAAACTCCATGTCAGGCAGAAGCACCTATCAACAAAGGAAAAATAAATTAAAGAAAATCGTGACTTTAAATAATGCAGAACTAAACTAAAGTGGTGATCTTCCAAAGGTTTCAGTAAAAGCCAGTAACTGGCAGAGAGTGCAGAATTAGTTTTTGGGTTATTTCACAGACAGATAATTCACAAATACATGTCTGATGCAAATGTGAAAATTATTGTAAGAAAAATCTTTCTCTTTATTTTCAACTATATTCTATTAATCATTCTATTATAATAAATAGTGACTTAAGACTGCAAAGCAAAATGCTCTCTTGATATACAATAATCTTTGATATGCCTGAAACAAAGTTATTGTAACTTGTTCAAATATTTTTTACCTTTCTGGCAAGAGACAAGAGTATGTTATCCATAAACATTGAAAATCCCACATGTTGTCCATAAGTTTTCCGATAAACCTACAACAAAAAAGTCATTTCACTAAAAGCTTTCCATCACACATCTATCACCCAGGTTGACTATAGAGAAGATTGCTACTTCACAGTAAAATTAAAAACCGCTTTTTAATTTTTTGAAATCAAATGCAAGGGTCCTAATTCTGTCAATTGATTATGATTCCCAGTAAGAGTGTAAGGTGAAACATATTTTTCGTTCTTGTTATTCTATGCAGGAAGGGGAAATGACATAAAATAAACTGCCACCTATACACCCCTGGTTTATAATAAGCAACAGTTTACAATATTAACATAACATCATTCTTACACCTGTGCTTGCAAAGGAAGATTTTGTCCTTCAATTTCAAATCATGAGTTTTTACTTCAGTACACTAATAACAAATTTAACTTAACTTATCTGCTTCCATCTGTTTTGAATTACCTGATTGTTGATGACAGAATAATGGCACAATGAATGATGTTTTCCAAACCGTTGAACAGCTTCCTTGGACAATTCTTTTAAGTCTACTTTATCAAATGGCATCAGATCCTTTTGGATTTGTGGGTACATCTGTGAACAATTCATGGCTTCCAACCAGGCTTCCTCACTTGATTCTGGGCAGTAACAAGTCTCATGGTATACTCCCCCTGTGGATTGTTAATCAATAAATGAACTGATAAGAATCATTATCATGATGACAAGTTCCACAGTTAAAGGACAAACATATCTCAAATCTTTAATTCCCATAGGTGACCATGAGAGAATTTTTCCTTACAAAATCAATACAATTTCAAGCAGACAAGTGATGAGAATAATGAAAAATATTGATTAGGGGATTATTATTTGATCCAATACCAAATTCTCCAAACTAACATCACAAGAACCATATGGAGATTACTAATAAGATATTGGGAGTTAAGGGTTAAGTGTGGAAATTTTTATATCTGATTTTTGGGATAAGGCTGTTATCTTACTAGAGACATATTGTTGTGACTTTTTTTGTCTTGTTTCTACTCTTTTCAACTGGCAAATCAGAAGAGATTACATTCCCTTACCCTCTAATTTATAAGGCGAGTTAGCAACATTCTTGCCCTTGTGTGTTATTTCAATAGTAAGGTCTGGATAAGATGCAAACATTCTATAGCGAACAATGAATGACCCATCTTTCCTGTCCAACTTTTGAACCCAAGCCCTTACTCGTCCAGATGAGCTTGTGATTTTCACATCAAAGGTAGCTTGGCCTGGAGAATCTGTAAGGCTGACAAAAAAGAATGATAATCACACATTTAAAAAGTAGAATTGAGAGAATTTTCAATAAAGGTGTGTGAAACAGAAGACTTTGAAAAACCTATAAAACAACCAACAGCTATCGTATCTTTTTTTGTAAAAGAGGGAGAAGGTGATTCTACTTTTATTCAGAGACAAATTGGGTTTTTTTTTGAAGTATAACATGGGTGTATTTTTGTCGGTTATTTCTCTTTTTTCTGGCACAATAAATACCTCCATTTCAACAGTGTCAGTTTGTGATTTTATCAAAGAACACAATGATCCAGTCACAACAAATGAATGGATCTCTTGTTTCCAAATTTAATTCATCAGCTGTCACCCATGTCTACAGCCACAAAACTGAAGTACGTTTGGTGTTATTTTTCTTGAACCACAGTTTTTAAAAAATCTCTCTGGGTCTAGCACCACTTCCCCCTGGGGGGAGGGGAAAATTTGGAACTCCCATCATACTTAATTACTTTGAGCGCGTAGTAACAAACGGTTATTTTGATAGTCATCATAGTGGTGATGAGAAATTTCTTAATTATCCCCTCTTTTTCCTTCATTTAATGATGAGGTTCATAACTTCTAATTTACGCTAAATAAATGCTAAGATCTCACTTGTTGCCTCCTTTGTCTACACTCTGAATGAAAAAATATCTCGCCGGCAGAGTTGCTCTACTGTCAAGTCCTGGACCCCAAACAAGGGAATTCTTCACGCTAACATCTACTGCTCTGTTGAAACAAACGCTTAAAGATAAGATTATGCAGAAGAAGTAAGATTTCATGATTATATGAGATCTTTGAACAGGTGATGAAGAAACCAAACGGATGAATCACTCAGGAAACAGCTGCATTCAGTAGTTTCTAAAGACAGCGACCAGACAGCTGAACTAATCTTGAGCCTTGGTTGATCCGGCTTCTTAGCCAGCGGTTTGGTCGCTGAGGACACAAAACATATGTAATAATCTACAACTTACTTCTTTGTTTTTTACAGCTGGCCAAAAAGATCGCGATTCATACTAATTGATCAAATCTATAACGTTTGCTCTCAATCGATGAAGTTTTAAATGGCCTTTAAGGTCAAGTTTAACGTACATAGAGTTCGATTTGTGGAGTATGTACCTCAGGCAATTCACTGCATGGCATTTGAAGACACTGATAAGCCATGTAGACTTGCTTTATCAAGGTAAATATCAAGGTTGTTACTCCACGTGGTTTGTGAACATGTCACATAGTTTAATGCAGCCAATCGTGGCTTCTGTTGGCGGTGCGTATAGTATTTTTACGATTTACTCTTGCTTTGTTATGGATAGTATAGAGGTGAAGTAAGGATTTTCATGCGTCAATTTACTAACTTTTGTTAAAATCCTGAAAATGTAGAGATAACAGGGAAAATCCCTGGGATAATCGAGGCCCATTTAACAGGGGCTTGTGCGTTTTGGTTGATTTTTTATTATATGTGTTGTTTAATAAACAGTATGAACCTTGTTGTTGTGGGTCTGTTCACTAACAGATCACAGATGATGTCAAAGGAGGAGCAGCTGAGTGTTCCACTTGTGTTCTTGCCACAATTTGTGATTTATTGCTGAAAAGATACACAACAACTTGGAACTTATGTTTCATATAATAGGAAGAAAAATGTTGTTAATAATAAGGTTATCTATCTACCTGAATCCTCCAATGGAAGAACCAGTCAAAATACTTATAAAATTCAGCTTATTGGAAAATTATGGTGTCAGAAGATATTATGTACCCTTATCACAGAGGGAATTTCAGAGAAAACCTCTATGTCCCACCACCTTAAAGTTTTCATTTCCTCAAATATGTTGTAAAACATAACCCTCCAAGAACATTTTGCATCCCCTTTCTGTATCTAAATGCTCCAAAAATTAGGTTCCTATCTCATATGACTGAGATGGGTCAATCACAGTAAATATGATATGTACTGTTGAAGAAAAACTACAAAACTCGTATTGAACATCAACCCTTCATAACCAGGAGGGTTCAAGACACACTTTATACTCACAAGATCAAGCTGTCAAGTCACAAAGATAAAGAAAAAAACAACTAGGGGATTATTATTCAATGATAGAAATAAAAAACTTTAAATTGTATGGACTGTATGGCAGACAAAGAGGAGAATTACTGATAAGATCTTGGGATTTAAGGGTTGAGCTGAGTAAATGTCCATAGCAAATATCCATTGTCCATCATGGGCAAATCTCAAAAATTGTGCAGAGGTTACATCTTCATTCAACACCTACATTATCATCCAGTCAGAGGACTAGAAAAAAGGAAAGGTTTTACTCACTCCTCAACCCTCTCCTAATTTATCCATGTGCCATATCCATCTATTCACTTTGATGTGAATCCTGTGGTTATTTTTGAATTCTAAATAATGTGGATACCATTCAAAGTAGATGTTATTCAACATCTGTATTTGCTGTATTATGGCCAATACAGCAAAATTAAAAAAAATAAACAAACTGTCACCTTCTTGTCCAAGTAATATTTGAACTTTAAGACCTTTGGGTGTTCAAACTTAATTTCAGAAACAGTGGCAAGGAAGGATTGAAGTTTTGATTAGGTTCAGTTCTCTGAAACAAATTGATTAAGTTATCTGCAAGCAATGAGGAGTCTACTATAACAAATTTGGGGTAGAGTAAATTTAAAACAAAGTACTTGTTGTGTATGTGGTACTTTGGTTTGCATAAGGCAGCTAAATGTATGTACTTATCCATTTAATTACTTGAATGGAAACTAAAAAAGTTGGAGACTTTATTTTTTCTCTTTGTCCTACCAGGGCAGATAGCAGCATAGAAATATGGAATTTCAAAGACAATTGGTACCAAGAAACGGTGTGTTGAAATGGTTTGTCAATTTTATGAAGTTACCATATAAAGTAGCTATTGTGGAAAATAGCTGTGATAATAAGCACAGGTTTATGGTTTCAAGATGTTTTGCGGAGTAAAATTTAAACAATGATATGATCTTTGTGTGGGAAGATACATGTAGTCTTAGAAAAATTCTGATTGGATTTGCCACAGTCGTGGAACAGTAAAATAGTATGTGAGGAAGATTCAAACCAGTAGTTACCAGCTAGGGCTAATGTGAACTTGTTAAAAGGAATGCCTATATATGGTTCTTTGGGTTCATACAGTGTTAGTATACAATATCTTTTCTTTAGTACCTAACTTTATAATTAATGAAAGAGCCTTTGGTGCTGTATATGTACTTTGGACTTCATAACATTAGGCACTCTAGACCTATGAAACAATATTTGATCTACTTGCTGTCATTTCATTTATAATCTTCAGGTTATTCCAGGATGTAAAGATACCTCAGTGGAAACACTTGATTGGTGTAAAGGGAGACTGTTCACTGGAGGTCTGCATGCAGAAATCACTGAATGGGATCTCACCAGCCTGCTTCCAAAGGTATTGACTTATGTATGGTTTTTGGCATTTTGAAACACCAAAATTATAAGGAGAAGGCTTGTGCACGAGAAAAGGAGAGACTGATAAAAGGAAATTGAATGGTATCTATCTTGGTTGGTTCTTCATGTCACCCTAAAATTAGATGTAAGAATTGTCAAGTGCAAGATTTTGTTTTCATCCTTTTTGTCTTGAACAGTTTGATGGAGAATATTTAATCTGTAGACATGATTTTCTCTAAACAGCTATTGTAGCTTGAATTTTGGAGTGATTCAGAGAAAAAAAATCCTTGTTGATTAATACTAAAAGTTAACTATATGTAAGTTTGTGTTTGTGGTTAAGTTCTCTTGTGATTGAATTTATGAATGATATGTCTTCCAGATAACAGTTGATTCCTTTGGAGGAGCAGTGTGGTGTTTGTCTGTGAATCATGCAAAAACACATATGGCAGTAAGTTTAGTATTAATACTGCGGTCAAATTTGTAATGTCCAATAAAAAAACCATTGTCCACTCCATGTTATTTCTTATCCTGATTGCTCATAATTAGGTTAGAGAAACGTGATCTTGAGAATTGAGTGAAAAATGTTCTCCCTTGAGATTGGATCTTTATTGTAATAAGAAAATGTTATGTTGGAGGATTTGTTTTAATTTTATGTATGCAGTCTTGCTGATGGACTTAAGTTGACACAAAATTATTAATAAAAGAAATTTGTCATTGTCAACTGACAGGTTGGCTGTGAAGATGGTCGAGTGAGACTGTTTGAAATCACTGCTGATGGTTTGAATTACAGCAAATCTCTGGATCAACAAGATGGTAAAAGGCTTATTTAGGATAAAAACATAACCTGGAATGATTTGTAACTAGATTCTAGTTTGTAAGAAGACTATTCCTGGCCTTTGTTAGTAATCAACACTTCACTCTTGGTTTATTGTGATGTTGTTTACTACAGGTGTGACTCTTTCCAGGAGCTTGCTAGTTATTTTATTCATTTGCTATATAATTATTATCTTTCAAATTATTTGTGATATAGTATTCTATACCTGAATGGTTTGATCCATAACCCCTGCTATCAGTCAATTCAAAATATCAAAATAACATTGTATTATTGTGCAAGGAGTTTTCATTATACTTGTTAGTAAGAAAAGTTAGTCCTCTAACTTTTATGCATTCCATATCATACAGTGTAGCTATGAAAACTCACTGCATGTACAGCCATCTCCTGAAAATGAACAATTATTAGACTGATTTTCACATGTTAGTGAAAACTGTCAAGATTTGAGTCAGTTGTCTACCAAATGTGAAGGCTAAAATAGATTAGGCAAACCAAGACCCTAATAATTTTCATTATTACACTAAAATCAAATTCAATGGTTGTTGAATTATAATGCTTGAAATCTATTAGTTGTGGGTATAATGGAAATGAAAAAAAAAAAGCAGTGCATGCCAGAAATGTAATACAGTATGAGTCAGAGTTAGCCACATTCATGTTTGATGTATTTGTTTCATGACAAAGGACATCTTTTTCTTCATGTTTTAGGCAGGGTGCTGTGTCTTAGTTGGCATTTGAGTGATAATACCCTTGTTACAGGAGCTTCTGATAGTACAGTAAGATTGTACAATGTAACATCAGGTATGCATCTGCTTATGTTACCAATTACCAAGTTATTTATTTGAGGTACTTCTTCAGAAGATTGTAGTGACAACATGGACAGATTTGATGGATGTCTCATCTCTCTCTCGGTCCCTAATTTTGTAGGTCACTGCACTTTGAGGATAACAGTAGATGAATTTCAATCCAGAAGCACTCTCATATGGGCCATACATATGACAAGGTATAGTTTGCACCATTGTACAAATCAGCAACCAACTAAGAGGAATGACACCTTAGAATCATATTTTATCATGGATTTGCCATTGGGTTGGACAGGTTGTGAATAACAATCCTTAGGCATTACATTTGGTTCATTATTGTCCAAAGGCTGTTTAATGAGACTGTATCATTATAGATGTATTCAAGATCCATCATTAAAGAAAATTAAATTGTCAAGATTTGTATTGTATAAAAAGGTCACATTTTGATTACAATTAATTCATTTGGGAATAATTTTGGAAATAGGACCTCTTACCATAGCTTGAATGACTGAGAGTGCATCTATTTTGGAAATGTTTGCCAAATGACATCATTAGTGAAAAGATATCTGCCAGCCCTTGATTTTGGCAGTCTTACTGGGTACCACTGGCTTCCATCAATAACCTACTGAGTGCCTAATTTAAGGAAGTGGAAATAGCATTACTGACCACATTGTGTTTTAGGACTCACTTTTTTAAGTAAGTGGTTTTTAATGTGACATAACTGTGTCTGCTTTCCTTTCAGAAATTTTGTGATAATTACAGGAGACTCTCTGGGAAATACTCAATTTTGGGATGGCCAGAGAGGAACACTAATTCAGGTACATATTGTGCAAACCAGATTTTTACAGGACCAATAAAGTTATTCAGATAATAAGTGCTCACCCTGAATTAAGTGGTTGATTTTCAAAGTCCATTTAGTGGTCAATTGTGGCACAAAATGGTGTTTTTATCATTACTTTGTAACACCCCTATGTTGGAAACTGTAGTAATTGATCAACCTGTATTAAACAATCACCTTGCTGTTCCCCTTGGGTGACGGCTAAATTCAGGTTCAACTGTAGGTTGTATTATTAAGGTGATAAAAAATGTTTATATTAAGTGCTTCTCAACATTTTCTTTGCAGAGTTTCAAAGCTCATCTGGCTGATGTACTCACTGTTTGTGTAAATAAGGTTCGTAGATACAACAAAGCCAGTATACTATTATTGTTATTATTACCATTATCATTATTATTATTATTATGGTTATCATTATTTTTGGAAGTTTTTTTTGTTGATAGAAGATTTCTACCTATTTTGAATTTACCAAAAACAATTTTTTTCTATCCAGTTTTCCTGTGATGCATTTTTGTGTACTTTCTCTGTGCATATAACCAATAAAAGGCGTACATTTTTCAGGAGGAGAACATGGTTTTTAGTGGAGGTATTGACAGTAAGATTGTTCAGTTTCAACAAATTACAAACAAGGTACAGTGTCTATTTGTTATTGATGTGTCTTACAATAGTCAAGTCCAGTCAAATATATCTATCGATAAGTGTATTACTTAAAAATTGTATTTGTGATTTGTTCTTGAGATCAATTTGAAATCTGTATTCCAGCATGCAGAACAATTGAGGGATATGTCAAATTTTGTTAAAACAAGGTTGTTTCCTGGCATTTGGGGTGCCCTTCTCTAGATCAAAGTCTGAAATACTCTGTAGATTATGTTCCCAATACATAAATTTCATAAATATGCAAGGCCATGTGACCCTCAATCAGCCAATATTAATGAAGCTAGAACACAGAAAACTGTAGATATGCAACAAATATTTGTAATAAATGAGGTTTGTTTTTCACTTAAAACTGACAGGATGGTGTTTTAAACTGGGTGAAAGCTGCTTCTCAGCGTATGTTTTCACAGGACGTCCGTTGCCTTGTTACACTGGGTGGAATTCATGACCTGTTGGTGTCTGGAGGTGTGCATCTAACTATTAATAGTATGATATACAACATTTAGTTTGCCTTCAGAAATAAAATATTTTTAATGAACAATGAGATGAGATTTACTGTAGAATACAAAATTGATATACAATGTGGTTAATAGTGGTTGATTTAGGTATCTTCTTTTATATTTAGGATTGGACCCAAGCTTTTTACTTTATTCCACCAAAGAGTTTGGCAGATCAAGCTATGGCAAAGTTGCACCGTTCCCACATGTAAGTATGAGTGGGTGATCAAGCAATCCTCCTTTGAGACAATCTTTAAAATGACTCATTCAGGCCAATTAGATTTGTAGACATTGATTTTGCGGTTTCTTTTTTTTACATTGTGGTTACCCTATAGAGGCCTGTGGTTTACTTGGCATCGGAAGCAAATATTCTGATGTATCAAACAGCAAGTACTCTACAGTTCTGGAGACTTCAAGAATTGGGTAAAATACCGTGATTATTATTGATAGTCTAATGATTGTGTGATCCCTTGATAAATTGTATTTTATTTTATTACTACAATCATTAACATTTTGAAAATGTCCATGTTTCTGTTTCTGTGTCATAACATTAGTCTCACATGCTTTGAAACACGTAAGTCTCCTTCAGGAGCAGTAACTTTTGGTGCATATAGTGTATGTTATCTCCCCATCCACTTATGTCAATGTCATTTGTATCTGTAGCACTTGGCTATTTAGAGAAGAGTAAGAAGCAAAGAGGTTGAGGACCACATTTTTGTTGTTTGTGTTTCAGATACAGTAGGTCAAACAACCATTGCACTTCAGAAGACTCCTGCACAGTTGCTAGAAATAAGGAAGAAAGTAAGCAGTAAATAAATCAACAAATAAATAAATATGATTAATTTTACATTTAAGTGGGACATCAGAGCAAGAGGGAGGATGTGAAACTTTTCATTAAAGCTTATTTGGAAAATTAATAATGATGAAAGGTTTGGTGTAGCATGCTGTATATGTCATTGACATGTCATGTTATTGGTACATATCAGGGTGATCATCATATTGTGTGCAGTGCTGTGTCCACGTGTGCCTCTTGGGCAGCATTTTCTGATGTTTACCATATCAGTTTGTTCAAGCTGAATTTGGTGAGTAAAATTTTTGTTTTATTATTAGTTTGTTTTTTCACAGTTGGCTGTATGAACTGTGCATGGCACGTGGTGTTTGTCAGTGTATGTTCATCTGTTACTTAGTGCTCATGAGAAGTACAATAGAAGTGGTGTGTGTTTGTTGGGGGGGGAGGGGGCAATTGCCTGTGTTGAGTACTATTAAAAACTTACGTTTAGCAGGGAACCCCCCTAACCACTCGTAACACATCAGTGAAAATCCGCAGAACTAAAGCCAGAACATGAATAACTTTCCATGAGTTATTTACTCTAAGATTCCCTGGATGAAAGACACAAGCTCAGTTTTGCTTTTTAATTTAGTTCTGGTTCACTTGAACCTCTAGAGCCACTCTGGTAAGTGTTCTAGCCACAAAAATTAACATGTTTGGCCTTACCATCATGTTCTCAGAACGGATGCTAGTGAGTTTTCATGGCATTTTTCCAAAGAAGATTTTGTTTTCTAAATATCCTCTTAATTAATGTTGTGCAAAACAAAGCTGTTACAGTTTTCGTGAGCAAAAATATATCTTTATCCAGCAATTATGTGAATAGACATTGTCTGAAACAGTCTGAATATCAAACGAAGGCGGAAGTGATTCGATAAGACTGTGACACAATGCAGGCGAAAGTGATTGGATATGACTGTTACACAATGCAGGCGAAAGTGATTGGATATGACTGTGACACAATGCAGGCGAAAGTGATTTGATATGAATGTGACACAATACAGGCGAAAGTGATTGGATATGACTGTAACACAACATAGGCGGAAGTGATTTGATATGACGGTGACATAATGGAGGTGAAAGTGGTTGGATATGACCGTGACACAATCTTCTCCTCATATATTCTTGCAAGGTTGTTCGCCCGTCGTTCCCAACTTTACAGCTTTCTTTCTTTCTTTTCGAGTGAGTCGATAACACCGATCCTTGAACAACCAAACACACCTCAGTAGTGAGCCTTAGCGGGAAAGTGTTCGCTGTGATTGTATTTTGCAAAGGAAGTAAATCGGAATCTCTCTGATCGTCCTCACCTGACATTACGTCACATCATTAAGGGGTCTATACGCTCACTCTATCTCGTAACCCCCCTCTAAACAATTATTTAACTGTGAACTATACCTCAGAAAAAATAGAAGCTTCCCTTAATAACCACGATTTCAGGTCCTTAATTTTGAGATTGGAACTAAGTAACACAATGAGTGGCTTCTTTTCTTCCGGCTCCGAATCAAAACCTCCATCTCATGGCAAAACTGAAGTCAAATTGGAGGTTACTCCAGTTGATTTTGGTCCCCTCAATGCAATTGAAGGAGAGCACCACAAAAACTTTCTTGGAGGACACTACTGGGTGACAACGCCGAAAGGTGAGTGCTTAGTTCTTCACCGAACATATGGTGGCCCTGCTAGAAGATTCGGACAGTATTGGACGGTAGATGAACGCAGTGGAGGAATTTGGGACAGAGTTGATCTGGCTGTTCCCTATTTCTGGAATACAATGGAGAATAATACGACCCTGATTGTTCCCAAAGGAGTGTTAATCTACGAAGGCTACTGTCAAGCTCAGGGTGGATTGGTGGGTGGAGGAGCCCAAGTTTTTATTCCGCACAGTATCATAGAAGCGTTACAGTATTGGCAGACACAGAAGCGCGAGTCCGTCGTCAAGGGAATTAAAGAACTGATTGAGGCAGAGATGAAATGGCGGAGGGCTCAAATGGAGATCATTAAGCAGTGGCATCTAAAACTGTTGGAAACAGTTGCTTCCAACATTAACGAAAATGCGACAAGAGGCAGCCTCTTTAGTTCGCTTTCGGCCCCAATTCAGAGGTTCTTTCGGAGCACGAAGAATGGCAGTCAATCGACAAGCACAGATGAAATTCAGCAAGGAACATACAAGGTGCATGAGCAGCAATTAGATTTGTGCAACGGCCGCCGTCTTACGGCAACTTTATCTGTGAGGATAGAGTTCGTGAAATCAACCACACGCACCTATAAGGCTGGAAACACCACTGTCGTGGAAACGACTCGCTATTACAACAAAATTTACACCTGGAGTTAGAATGCAAAGTGAAAGAGACGCACGGTTTTTATGCGAACTGCTTCTTTACTCAAGTAGTATGTGAATCATTTACTTACATTTTGAGCATGGTTAAAAGAACTTAGACATCAGGGGATGATGTTTACTGAAATAGAGGATGTGGTACAATTTGAATTTGTTACAATTAGGTGACCACGTACTCTTATATGTGCCCTGTTTTGAGTAGACAGCCTCTTGATATTAAAAGGAGAGTGCTTGCATTCTGTATTTCCGATTTGTGCCAAAATCGTAAAAATACATTGCAGTGTGTTATCAAGAGAGGAAGGTTAACAGCAATACTGTGGTAGATCAAGAAATGTAGTAATTTAGGCATTAGATACTAAAAGTAGAAGAACATCAGTAAAGAGGTAAAGATTCGGCGTTGACTGATGTGCTTCTGTTTCTGACAAAGCGTTTTAACACCGCAACTAGTGAAATCGATTATCGTCCGTTTTCTTTGAAAGCTTAAATATGTCGGAAAATACCTTTGGTAACTTATCTCTCTACGTCAGTGATTCATAATGGTTTAGTTTTTAATGTAATAAGCCTTTAAAGTAATCAGAGAACATGTTATAAATGGTAAACATTCTTCTAATTCAGCACGAATCAATTCCGCACGTTAGTCCGCCGCTCTTAGCAGCTACTTAGAGTATATTTTCGTAGATGTGTTTAATTTATGAGATTTTCTGTAAAAGTCTATCACAAAAATAAAGAAAACAGAAAGTATACCTGTTAAAAGAGGCTGCCCCACTTACTCTGATTTTAACCAAACTGCACTTTACCGAAAAGTCTCTAACAGAGTAAGAATACATATTCTACGTATGTCGCCCTTAGTTTGAAAGTGGCTTTACAACCTTTTGACTTTGTCCTGTCCTGGTGTCCACCTTCTCCTACCATATCAAGTAGAGTACGCCCTCTGCTACCACCTATTAAAACTACCCAATTTGCATTTGTAAATTGATGATTATGAGTCAAAGCAGCCTATTTTCCCATCATAAGTCTTTTTGGCAGTAAACGCTAAACCCGCTAAGTACTTCTAGAGTCAGTACATTATTAAATAACCAAGGGAAGTTTAAAAAGCTTTATTAATTTGTTCTACTTTTAGAGTAAAGAAGGAAAATCTCAAGTGACTGTGACAAAAGTAAGCTCAAGTTCGGTCAAGATTTGTTTGTTTGTTTGTTGTTATTTTTTTGTTGTCGAAATCCAAACTTTGATATGATGTAATAGTCCCATAACAAAATTAAAAAATAATAATAATAATGACAAAAGCAACGATATTACTAACTCTTTTCATTCATAAAACTTTCTTCGTGTCAATTGCAGGTTTTGCCGTTGCCTGTTCATTTGTTACCAGCTCGTGGATTAGTATTTTCTCCTGAAAGTTCAAAGTTGATATCTGCAACAAGTGAAGGTTCAGTTCAGGTGAATTTAAATGTGGACAAAGGAACTCGGGGAGGTTGTCATATTCTGAGCATGTTTTTTTGTCAGTTTTTCCTTTATAGCTTGGGTTTATTAAAGAGGCGTTACGTGCATTTGCATTTGCATGGTGCTCTTAGTTAGAGCTCCCAATATTGTTGCACTTTTAAATCCGTTAAGGTCATTGTTTCAAACACGGGTATCTCAACAAGATTCCAAAACTTGCCTCTGATCCTTTTAATATGTATATATATATATTTTTTTTTTCTTTTTCCTATTGAAATATATCAAGATACGGTAGCATAATCTCATTTTTTATTTAACTTTCTTGTTACTCCGCTCCCAGATTTTGGACCTGAGTGAAGAACCCTGCCTAAGTAACACATTAAGCATTGCTCAGCATGGCAGAGGTAATTGTACACTTAAGCTATCTGTTCTTGCTTTTTAATTAATGAACATTCCGGAACGTACATTGGGCATGAAAGAAATTCGTACAGATCCTTAGCCCGTATATTTTCAGGTGAACATTCTCTTTTGAGCTGCTTGTTATATATGTTACGTCATTTTAGTTATTGTCTGCCTCTCAAAATGTTCCTTTAATTAGATGAGAACTGATGTTGTGCTTCGAAATATGTTTTCTCGTTACGGATTTTTCTCCTGGGGTTTTCTCTTGTATAGTTCTTAATTCCTGTTTTGGTGGTAAATCTTAATTCGAATTTACGGTTGATTATATTTAATTTTAACCTCCGTGTTCCAACATGAAGTCCATCAACAGAACCAAACTGCCTTTCTTACAACTCCAGTGAATCACAAATCTACTAAGGCGGCATTAGAAGTAAACTTTATGTAAACCGTGACTTTTTGATATGCAGGTTTAGCAGCCGTTAATCTTGTGGCTGTCAGCAATGACTTGCTCTGGTTAGCATGTGCTGATTATAACAATACTTTAACAGTGTTCAACTTGACGAAAATGAAGGTATGGAATCTTACATTGCGAATATTCATTTGAAACTTCTTATTTGTCTTTTATTTTCCTCAGCAGTATTAATACTTGAAGACAACATGGACGTAAAGTTAACTGGAATAACTTTTAATTTCTTAAAGATTTTCACACTCACAAGTCCTCCGTATAAAGATTTCGTCAAAACTGAACAAGGCGTTTGCTTTTCTTGATGCATCAAACAAATCTCTTCTTTTTTGTGCAGTGGGAAGAAGTAATTTCTCTCGCCTTACCATCGCATTCTCTCCTGTCAATTAGCTCGATTATTGCTGCCTGAAAATTTTGTTTTACATACAAGGTGTAGACATAAAGAGTACTATGTATAACATTTGCTTCTATTAGGGTGTTATCATTTGTCTCGTGTTGGGGTCATTTCTGATATAAATCTTAATGTTGTATTTAAATTCTCGTGGGTATGATAAATAGTGACAAATTTGAAGTGAATTCACCTTCTTGATTCACATCACGCATGGCTACAGACATGTTTGTCTTCTGTTATCAACTTCCACTTCATTCCGAATCAACTGAGTGTTTTCTATTAAGTCGTATGTACTTTACTACAACGAACACTTACAATAAAAATAATAGTATGGTTGGTATTTTACTTGTACAGATGGTGTTAACCTAATGTAAAAAAAAGTGAAACAGCGACAATTTTTGAAATAAGATAAGCAGGAGTATTCGTGGTTGGCACTTTGGTCTTTTGTTAAGTGGGCATCTTTACGGAATATGCAGTGTTTTGTTAATGAGAGATAACTGTAAGCATCATAGGTGGCAACTCTTTTAAGACATTTTTTCATTTTATTTTTAACAGTTAAAATGTACTTTACCCCACTTGGAATCTCGTGTGACTTCATTAGCGTTCCAACCCCAAACAAACTATCTTTCTGTGGTCTGCTGCAATAACCAGGTGAGTATTTGTTGGCCCTTGTACGTGTTTTTCCTTCATTTGCCCGTTTTAGACAAAAGATTGACGTACTAAGTGACTAACAAATCGTCCTACACATAGACAGACTATCGGAGAGACCTAGCAACTGACCAGCAGATAGACAGACCGACAAAAAGACTATCAAAAAGACCTGCACTCCTAGACACATTTGTTGGAACACCATATGCCTCCCTTGTTCCATTAATGTTGGTCTGTAAAGTGGCATAGGAACATTGGCGATTGACAACATTGGAAGGGAGAGAGGAGTGAAAGAACCTCACAGACGTTGTCTGGGAGAATTGTGCCAACTAATTATGTCTGGGAGTGTACCAACTGACCAGCCGCTAGACAGACAACTTTTTATTAAATTATTGCATCAGTCATGAAGTCATCACCCAACATTAATTGCAGAGCAAGCAGAATTTGTGTACTATTTTTATGTTTTAAACATCATCTGTTCTCCTGAAATGTTCTGAAGCTTATAGAATTTTTATTTTTCTCGAAGGTGTATCTTTTCAAACCATCCAGTGGAAAGTTAACCAAATGGTCGAGACAAGCGCTAGAACATGGGCTGCCTAGACAATGGACTAGTCGACGATCTCAAGTGATAAACATTCAATTTAATCCTTCATGTCATGAAGTTGTGCTGTTACAAGATCACAATATGTTTACTCTTCTCGACCTTAGAGAGGTATTTCCTCACTTCATTCTTATTTTGTATTTGCTGACCATGGAAAATTTTTCTGTTGCCATGTGTTTCAAGTTCCTTTTAATGTTTCATTTGTAGCCGTTACCGGATATAGGAGTCTGTTTATACGAGACCAAGTTAGTGCAACAGAAAAGAAAGCAGTCAACATTTAGAGATGACGCTGAACAAGATACGAAACAGGCCGCCTTCAAAGTCTGTAGGAAATATTCGGTAAGTCGTCAATTGTACATTACTCTAAGGTCTTTTCACATTTATAAGAAATTATTTCTTCTCAGAAACGTGTTCGGGCTTTCTAGGACAGTGGATGTGGTCATTTTGGACTTGTTGTACATATCACTGTCCAAAAAATTGCACTTCTATTTCAAGTAAAAAACGGTATCTTGACCTATATGTGTAGGAAATTGCTCGATTGCATTAATGTATCGTGATGGTCAGGCACCAGTTTTTTTAATTTTTACATATTTGCAATTTAAACACTTTTTAAACACAAAACATCACGAGTGGTCATAAACCACCAAATTGACCAGCATTCTATGTGACTTTTTGTCACTAGATTCTCCTTCTAACGCCACACAGTACATCCTCTGTGCACATTTCTCTAAACACTAATTACCAACGCTCTGGAAAATCGGATCTTGACCTTTGATCGCTTTATACAATAATTGTTACAGTAAAAAAGAAAAAAATTTGGAAGGAACTTATCAAGGGATTTCATTATAGCACACATTTAAATGATTTTTACATTTATGGCTCACCAATCAGGGACGAGATATATTTTTGAGTACTTTATTCATGCATTAGAACTGTTTCCGTGTTTTTCAGCCGCTGCTCTTTGCAGGTTTCACAAAGGACAGTTCTTTAGTAGTTGTGGAAAGACCATGGCAAGCCATGGTGGAGATGTTACCTCCCCCACTGTATCGCAAGAAATATGGAACGTAATCAATGCTAAATTGTCGTCACATTGCTGTGGACTCAGTGCTCTTCCAAGTGCAATACCAGGTCAAGTATTAGCAGCACATGGAGTCTCCAAGACAACGAGAAACCACAGTGCTTGAAACAACACCAAGAAAATCAAAACAGAAGAGAATTATATGAGACCCACATAACACTTGACTACATAAGATTATCGTGACTCTTAGAGACTATTAAATTAAGACTTGCAGGAAATATATGAAAATGAACGTGAGAATAAAAGAGCAAAGGTACGATGGCAATGAACAGTCCTTAGTCGACCACATAATTTCAGTAATCCACGAAATACAACTGCTCTCTACCAATAAAAATCGTAATTTGTCATTACATCTTTGAATCTGTACAAGATACCGCTTTGTCTTCCCGTGATGCTCTCTGTACTTTGACTGAAAAGTTCGTCGACCCTTTTATTTGAAACACTCAGTTAAAATGAAAAGAAAAATAAAGTGTAAAGAAAGTTTAACGAACAGAGCATTAAAATGTAAAAAAAAGACACAACTAACACAACATAATCACAAGGTACATCGTTACAAGGTACATCGTCTTCAGTATATTTTTAGGCAGAATAAACGACGACTACACGTGCACGAGAATATTTTACAAACAAATGCGGTGTAAGTTATTGCGCATTTAACTAGCTCCGGCGGCAGTTCTTTACCAAAACACAAATTAATGTAAATTGGTAACGTGAGAAGTAGTTGTTTTAATGTGGGTACGTATCATTGATTTGTCTTCAGGTACGAAAACCGATATTTGAAGTATGACAACGCACGTCCGACAACAGGCAAGAATGAATTTTGCAATGAAAATGTGAATTACAAATCATCATTCAGTATTGATTGCGGCATATAAAGTTAAGAATTTAATTGCCTTCTCGATTTGCAAACAAAAGCTATTACGAACTGCACTCACAAATGTGGGCTTGATCTGAAATGAATCAACGAGTCGATTTCACGCGATTGGATATATTTGAGGAAATGGCGTTATCCATAAATTCCACCAAATAACTCACTCGATTTTCCCTCCCAAAGTCAAGCACGTCTCAACTCGTCCAACTTGCACAGCTGGTGCTACGTATTGCATATTTGATATTTACAACAGCGAAAGACTGGGGAGAGAAATAAATTTGTACCAAGGGGCTGAGTGAAGGTGAAAAAGAAGACTATTCCCTCCCCGCACGGTGAATTCTCGTTGAATGAACTATTGCAAGACATGACACCTTATGTCTGTTACACAATCAGAGTAGTACTATCCATCCACGTTTACGTAATGGTCTATAAACGAAATTTGGTGGGTTCAGTCAAATCACTAGGTTTGCTACATCAGCAAAATTGAAAGTAGATGCAGCAAAATTGAAAGTAGATGCAGCCTGTGGAATATGACGACTCTTTCACAAATTGACGACCCTTAAGAGCTGGTAAGATTGAGAAAATGTTCATCATAAAGACAGGAGAAATGTGGCTAGAGGAATTTCGTAGTTGAATGTAAATATGTTGTAAAAAGATTCTCATTCATCATGCTCTCCTTTCGCTACCTCTCGTTTCCTTGGCGTACATAAGTACATTATAATTTTTTTTTCAAACTTGAATCTAAAGAAAAATATATTCTTGGTTTCAATTTCACGTGTTGGTATCTGTAACCATTGTCAGTTGATTGAATTAAGTTTCGTCCGTGTAAAATTAAACCAAGCGAGTTTTGCTTAATTTGCAAATCATAATCAAGTTTTTCACTCTTTGCCTGACTTACCATCCTCTCTCTGTTTGAAACTTAAACACCACCTCATATCTAAAGATCTAAAGGTCTTTCAACGTAAGTCTGTCACTGTCCAGTACCCCTCGGTGATTAGTGGTAAAGAAAATTGTCAAGCAATAATTTATCCATTCATTACACCCATTTTGAAATCACTGGTGATCCTTTTCATCTGATTGTCTCTCATTGGTGCGATTTATTCACGAATGGCACAATTTTTTTTCTCTAAATCACATCTTTTTTCTGGGCAATTAGGGAGCTTTACAACGACCTGGGTACTTGTTTGATGTTGAAATCATGCATCTGATTTCAGACCAAATTTCAATCCACTCAGTTTGATTCCCTTTCTAAATTGCACTCCACACAGTTCAGTTACCATCATTTATCATCCTTTTTTGTTTTGTTTTCAAGCTTCTCAAATTGCTTTTCATTTCTTTTTGAAGAATATATTTCATTGAATTACTAATACTTTTCTTCAATCTCTGAAATTTCAGATTTAAAATTACGTTTGTCACTTGTTTTATTTTGCAGAAGGGAAAACCTTTCTTCCAGTGAAAGACAAAGAATGGGAGATGAAAGTCCAACCCTTTTGAGGCCTGAAGCCTTAGAATGGCATTGTTCAAACACTGATTGGCAGCTTGACACACACACAAAAGTCATGCCAAGTTCACCATCACCTTTTGTTACCCTTGAAGAAATTGCACCAAGTAATGATATTATATCAGATGGAAAACAAACCCAAGACTCTGAAATGTTTATGTTGAGACCTTGGATTAAAGAGTCAAGAAGAACATCAGGATTTTTATCAGTTGGGAAAAATGTGAGACGATACTACAAGCAAATGGAAGAGACAAAAATTACTTTTGATCAGATCAAAGAAAATGACTCTGAAGCATCATTCAATAGCAGCTCTGAAGAAGATAAACAGTCTGAAAAAGTGTCAACTGCAGTGAAATTGAGTTTGTTCCTTAACACTGCCCTAATAATTGCTAAAGCTGTTGCTTCATATCTTTCTGGTTCTATGTCCATCCTTTCTAGCTTGGTAGACAGCATTGTAGATTTGGTGTCAGGTGTTGTTGTGTGGTATACAAGTCGTGCTGTTAAGGGCACTGATTACTACAAATACCCTGTGGGAAAAACCCGCTTGGAGCCAATCAGCATCATAGTCTTATCAGTCATAATGGCTGTGGCTTCAATACAAGTGATAATCACATCTATCACAAGGATGATTGAACACACAGTTGATCCTGATATTTCAACTCCCACAATTGTAATTATTGGTGCAACTGTCTTCATCAAAGGGGCTATGTTTCTTTACTGTCATCAAATAAAGAAACCCTCAACAGATGTTTTAGCTCAAGATCATAGGAATGACATAGTTTCAAACTCTTTTGCCTTAGGATTTGGTTACATTGGTTACAAAGTATGGCCTAATGCTGATGCATTGGGTGCTATAATGATAAGTCTTTATATAGTTATAGGGTGGTATAGAACTGGTAAGGAGCAGATACGTGGCCTGACAGGCCATACTGCTCAACCAGCCATGTTACAAAAGCTTCTGTGGGTTTGTTTGAATCATGACACAAGAATTCAGTTTATTGACACATTAAGAGCATATCATTTTGGCTTCCATTTTCTTGTAGAGGCCCATATTGTCTTACCACCCAACATGACACTTGAAGAAGCTCATGACATTGGGGAATCACTTCAAAGGAAGTTAGAAAGTTACTCAGATGTAGAACGAGCATTTGTTCATATTGACTATGATTATGAACATCATCCAAGTGTTGAACATAAAATAGGACATGGGCACAGTGCTGATACTACTCCTGAACAAAAACAGGTGGATGACACTCTTTGAATCAAGAAAAGTATTATTTTGAGTGGTAAACCTGTCATAAAGATATAATTTTACAGAAGGACATGACAAATCTCATAACATATAGTGATCATGGTGATTAAGAAGGTTGAGTGCTGCACTATGTGCTTCTATTTTTCCCTGGGTGTGTTGCAATATTTAGACTTGGAATACAAGTTGACTGCTTAGTTAATGTAGGTTTTGCAGAATAAGGGTATAAGGAAAAAAAAGCTCCATTTTGAATTGTGGATGGTTATCTGGCCTAGTAATGTGTCTCTATGAATTGTACAAAGAAATGAACAATGACCAAAGTACAAAGAAATTACAGATTTCAGACATTGTTTTTGATTCCATATTTTGGCAGTCAACCATTCTCTAAATGGCCAATATTCTCACTTCAAGAACCCTGAAATCAGATGTGTGGAAAGCTCTCTTCAGATTAAGAAGTTTTTTTAAAGGGCTAGGGTTCACACAATCAATTGAAGCAAAAATTTCATCCAACAGTTGCTTCACATAGAAGCTCACTCTAATCCACTGCCTTAGGACGCAGAAAGGATGGTTGACAATTCTTGGTGCAGGCAGGTGCATGTTAATTCACATTCATGTTCTTGTTTGCCTTTGCTGTTATAAATTACTAGCAATTGCAGAATTAATATGTTACTCAAAACTGTGTCTAAATGTTGTTGATGGGTAAGTGTGTGATGGGGAAACCCTCTTTAAAAAGAAAGCAGCAGAAGACATTGAAGTAGAGATTTTAAAACAAATTTAGGAAATTTACCTTTAATATAAGTAGCTGATTTAATCATCTTACAAGTCTTTGTTGCATTTGGAAAGTACATCGGGACAAAGTAATGGAACATAGATCAGAGGGACCCTCATGACAGATCAAGATGAGCTTTATTTGTGAAACCCTTTCAACTTGAAGGTTTCCTTTGTGTGATACAAACATCAACACAACAGCCACATGCTGTGAAACAAATCAAAGCTTAAATCTTCATTTGGAAGGATTTCATAAATTAAGCCTTCCCCCCTAAACCATACATACGTATTCTAAACCACTTAAGGCAGGTCACCTGTGATTTACCAGTAATACATTGAATAGCAACATATCCATCTTCACATGAAGCAAATCTCAACAACGCTCAGCATTTCAATACTACTAATTAATTATTACAGCAATTGATGCTAGTACTTTACAAAATATTGTTGTGGAGAGTTGATGGAGCTAAATTTAGTCAAAACTTACAATTGTTTGTAACTCAATCACTTGAAGTCCGTGTAATTCAATCTCAAATAAATGATACAATACTCATCCCTCACAACACTTTACTTAATTTTTATCTCTTTTATTCACACAAGTGGCACCACCATTTCAGCCATATCCAGCATTCAGTTGTTAAAAATATGGCCAGTATAGTATTTATATTAAAAGCCTTTAAGTCCAGTTAAAAATGGCAGTCCAGGTTATCACACTCTACAAATAATGTGTAATTTGACAAGAAAAATGCACCACACAACACATGGTGGCTTGTAAGAAAGGTGATATTCCACTTTGTCCCACTTAAGCTTACCCTTCACAGGCAGCCCAAGCTTCAGTTGTAATATCATCACCTTGTGAAATAAGAGTCATGGCAAAATTGTAAGAGTTTGTATGGGAATATCTATGACCCCTCTTAGGAATAAAAAAAATACAGTCAAATTCTCAATAAAGATACCTCATCTTACCTTCATAGTGCATTGCTTGTTGTCTGAGCACTTATTATGTTGAAAAGAACCCATTTAAGCAAGTTATCCATTTCTAGGTTTACTACATAAGAGAAACCCTAGAAATGGATAACTTGCTAAAATGGGTTCTTTTCAACCAAGTAAGCAGTCAGATAACAAGCACTGCATCATGAAATTAAGGTGAGGTATTTTTATTGAGAATTTGACTGTATTTTTTTTTAATTTGAGTGGTCATGAATATTCCCATGTACAAACTCTTTTAATTTTGCCACGACTCTTATTTTGCAAGATGATCATCTCACAACTGGAGCTTGGGCTACCTGTGATCCATTCTATTATGACAACCTATCAGTTAATCCTTATTGTGTCAAAAACAAAATGCTTGATTCAAACAGATTCTAAACCAGCAATAAGCTATCTAAGTAAAGAGAGTCTTCAAAAACTGAGAGGGTGATTGAAACTTTTAGCCTGTCAGGCACATCCGAAAAAGCAACAATAACCAATTTCTGACCTTTGCTTACCTTTTTATTTTGCTGATGTGAGGCACAGTAGGTGAGGTGACTCACATCTTTAATTAACCACAAAGAGCTGCTTGAATCAGAGTCAAGTATTTTGTTGTTGAAAAAGATACTCCTGAATAATTCATCACTCTATCTTACCACTAATGTTAACACCACGGAGATATAATTGTTAAACCTAAATGAATTTCAGAAAAGTTCAACTTCTTCCTGTCATGTCATTTTAAACTGAACCAGACTTGCATGTTATAATGAATGAGTGACAAAATAATCCAATAGAATACAAAATGATTGTTGTACAAAGCTTTTAATTAGCATTACTCTTGAGCAAATCCTTCAGTTTCCTCGATTGCAAAAGTCAACTTTTCAACTAATTGTTCATAGCTCTTGTATGGTGGCAGATCCAAGCGGTTAAAGCTAAAGAAAAAGACAAAAAAAGAGAAACAAATTATGACATTACCATAAAACATGAAGGAATGGTTGAAAATTATCACAAAAAGAAGTTTCAGAAAATAGACCATGTAACTTGTGCTTTGGACTTAAAAAATTAATAATCTGTGACTGAATCAGAAAATCCATTTGTTTTAATATTTGGCAAAGTCTAACACAATAGAACAAAAAGAGAGCAGAAGCTTCGGATGATGGGCAAGCATACATACAGGTATAATTCATTTTGTTCAAAGTGATGAAACTCAGGTGTCAATAATTCAATTATTAAAGAAAACTCACCAAGTATGACTTCTTGGAAGCCACGTGTCTTTGCCAACTTTCTCTATACAAAATTTCTGTGGTCCATTGCTCCCTGTATCAGCCACAGCACAAAAAAAATAAATCACCAAAACCACAGAATTATAACAAAGTTCACTCCAGTTGCACTACTGCACAAAAGGACTTGAGGTGTATCTGTGATTTTCACAGATACATCAAAGCCTTCAGCAAAACTACATGTTAGAATAGCTCAACCTTGCTATTTACCTTATTTTCAGAAAAATAAGTACCATTTAAAAGTTTACATGAACTCTGTCCAGCAAAACTATTATCCAATGTTTATTACTTTATAATGTATTTCATTAAATTATGAAATCATAAATGAATGTTTCACTTGATAGATATGTACATCAAGGTTATTGGGGAGTAATCCCTACAAAAAATTACGTGTATTTGAAAGCCACTTTCTATAGAATATTCTTGTCCAAGTGAGGAGGACTTTTGCTGAGGAAAACAGCCAAGGTATTGTAAACATAAAAAAATGGTTGAAAATGGAAATAAGAAACTATACAAACCCATGAGCTCAGCAAAACCTCCTACAGGGAGACGACATGTGCCTGTGACAAACTGTAACAATCTGGTTCTTTGTTCATTGTCAAAGGAACGTACAGCCTGAAAAATGAAACGTGCCATGTGACATCATCATACTGTAATTTGCTTTTAACTAGGACTTCTAACTGAATATCATATTATGAAGACCCAACAGCACAGAACAGTCACTCAACAAAAGCACTTTCAATTGATAGTTATTTCCTTAACAGTGAAACATGATCTGTAATATTCCAGGTGGCTGTTCTCATGAATTTATTTGATTTATACGGATACTATTCATGTCTCTTTCTTGGTCTAGGAAAACTATGTTTCTGTAGCAAGTAGTCAGTGAAATCAAGTGCTTTCATATGAATGAGCAAGAGCAAAACACAGATCCTGCTGGAGATTCAAGGAATGTTCTCACACATTGTCATATATATCATGTCACATTCTGCCTTGTTTTCAAGTTGAGAGCCCAGTTAAATATAAGCCACACACCTGCCAGAACCAGGTCACTTGTTTGCTGTTCCTGGTGTAATGACGATACACAGAGTTTGCCTGCCAGTCATCAACATCAATCTCTTGCATTCCACAAAGCATCAACTGAAAAAAGATCACAAATTTCAAAGATGAATTGACATACTACTAACTTTTTGAAACAAATGTATGCATTCCTTGTTCATGATTAGCCAGTAATAAAAGCAGAACAGACTGTTCCTTTAGCCATTATACTTCTTCTCTACTGTTATCAGGTCATATAAATACCTCCATTTCTTTTTCATCAAAGTACTGCAACCAGTAAAGAGGAACAACTTCATTAAATCCATCTAAGAAAGCCTTAGTTTGCTCCTCAATTCCACGATTGAAGCGCCACTGAGTCATAAGCCTTAAGAAAGAGAAACAAGGGATCATGAATAAAACATTTTGAATGATGCCTATTATTTAAGTATACAATGCATGTGGCAGCATTTAGCTCAACTTTGTCTACAGAGTGGCGTGCACTGAAAGCATATGGGCAGCTTGGAAAGGTGAATCAATCTCTGGCTCAACTACTTCTTCCGAACAAGGGGCTATCAGAAAGATAAGCATGTAGCTTTAGCAGCTACATTAATTTGTGGTATTAGGTAATCATAGAACAGAAATCACATTCAGCCACTTCAAGAAGTAAAGATGATTTAAGGATGAAAAAATTTCAACTTACAAAGTCTGAATAAATGTGAAAAAAGATCACACTTACGACAAGTATTCCTCTTTGTTTTCCTCAGTGACTTTTATATTAGAGCCATTAGGTTTCAAGTCATGTGAAGTAATTTTGCCCAGAAGCTCCATGTCTACTGCAAATTCCATGTCCAGACCACATTCTTCAATATTATTATCCCTGTAAGACAAAAGAGCAAAATGGCATGATGTTTGAATGATGAAATGAAGTTTTCAAAATGTTGATGAAGACATCTGTTTTGTGCCATACAATAGGTGGGAAACCCTGCAATGCAGATAGCCACCTTTATTCCATCAGAAGTAATTTTGGTGCACAAATCATAAGTTTTCATCGCAACTTAAATAGTTTTTCATACATCTGCCAATGAATGAATGAAATCAAAATGTGTTGCAAATTGATTTCCAGGTTCTGTCAATCCATTTTGTGCCTCTTCATGCTGCTTCTACCCCCAAAGGTTCCATTTAGGTTATGACAATTTCTACCTACATCTCACAATGAACAAAACAGACAAGTTTTACACTTCTCTGACATTTTTATTTTCAAATTTTCTCTGCAGCATCCAGGTCACCTCAGCCTGCATGAGCCAGTGTATGAAAAAAGCAACCAAAAATACCAAAGGGGCTTGGCTTTGTTGTGTGCGTTTCCATGTAAATAACAAAAAAGTAACAGTTCTTGAAAAACATACTTGATCCATAATAGGGAGTTGTAAAACTCAGGATCGATAGACTCCAAGTCTTTCATGGTTTGCTTTTTATTTAACATTCTTTTGTAGAAAGGAAGAGTAAATCCTCGGTCAATGAATTTCCCATGATAAAGAGCCTGCAAAAAAACAAAACACATTCATTTGAGCATCTCACTGTTTTGACTTTACTGAAATATGCTTCCAGTCAATACCTCATATCCCATTTGTATGGGTCATTTTCAAACACATCCAAAGGAACTAAATTCCCTTGTAGTACAGTTTCATAACAAGGTTATCACATTTCTCAAAATTGTTTCTTTGGATGTAGTTTTTATCATTTTAAGCGTTTGTGACAGGTTTTTTTTGTCACAGGCTCCTATTAACTGGCTGTTGCATCACCTTACATGTCCAGTGCCCTGTATGTCATTACCCTGCATGAAGCATTCACAGAGAAAAGTCTGGCAAAAAACACAATACTCCCATCTAACTTACCATTGCTATTAAACGGCCAATAAACCTAAAGTACTGCAAGTGATCAGGATTCACATATGATGCTGGGAAAAAAAAAGTATTACTTATTTACTACAAAAATGAATGATACAATATTAATTATACCTGACTGAAATAATCAAGACCTATAGCCTTGAAAATACATCACTGCTTTTTGTTGGTTTCACAAATTAATGGCTGTTCAAA